TCCTGATGTGTGTCCCGAGGACCCCCTTGAAGCACTTTCCTTGCCTTTTGCAGAATGGATGATATGGCTGTAGACAGCGATGAAGAAGTGGACTACAGCAAAATGGATCAGGTATGCCCTTGCAAGCTTTTAGGACCAGGCAGTGAGCTAGGCATCAGTGCAGGCTCAGAGGAGCCCACAGGAGGGGAGCATGCTTGTGCAGAGGGTTTGGATGCTCTGGAGCTGGGTGTTGAATGTGTTTTGAGGCTTGCTGAAGTGCTACGTGACTGGGTCTGTGAAGGAGCTATTGCCCCGGGGAGCAAATATGCGCTGCTTTCTGACGATCGATTGAGATGCCATTCGGACGTTGAGCTAGTCTGTCTCGACTCCCTATTCCACAGTATCTACCATTTGGGGTTCCTCAGGGAAGGGATCTCGGAGCCAAATCCAGGCTTGGTGCTAGAGTTCAGTGCTGCCTTCTTTGTAGCGTTGAACTGGAGCTGATGGGAGGCTGAGATCTTGCCCAGGTCCACAGGCTGCATGAGAAGCCCTGACCAGCGTTGACTGAGGAGCAGCACTGAGTCTCTCTTTTTGCTGCAGGGTAACAAGAAAGGGCCCCTGGGCCGCTGGGACTTTGACACGCAGGAGGAGTACAGTGAATACATGAACAACAAAGAGGCTCTGCCCAAGTGAGTGCGGCACTTGTGAAGGGCTGGATGCAGCTGGAGGAGGGTTCTGGGTGGGGACAGTAACACTGGCCAAACCCACACCCTGGGGGAGCTTAAATCAAGGAGGGGATCCCCTGGTGAGGGCTAGAGGAAGCTTTCCCCGAGTCCAGTGCCTGTCGGCTTGTCTTTGCTCTTAGGATCTTCCTTTGGGACTCCAGCTCAGCCCAGGCTGCCCAGAGCAGGCCTGTAACTGGAGCAGATCTAAGTGTCCATTCCACTGTCAGCCCAGTGCATCTGCTCTGAGCACTGAGCTCACTATCTCACTCCTTCCCCAGAGCGGCGTTCCAGTACGGAATCAAAATGTCTGAGGGACGCAAAACTCGTCGCTTCAAGGAGACAAATGACAAGGCAGAGCTGGACCGCCAGTGGAAGAAGATCAGTGCGGTTAGTGCCTGAAGCTGGGGTGCTGTCTGCCTGGGCCATGAACTGCTAGCGCATCCTGGGGTCGGGAGAGTTCCTGCCCCAGCTCTGCACTCACTGGCACCTCCCTTCAGTCCAGCCTGTGACCTTGCTGCCAGGCATTGCTGATGTGCAGCAGTTCTGGTTCTCTCCAGAAGCTGAGTCTGCTCCTTACCAGACTGTTAGCCAGACCCAAATACTTGGGGCTTCAGGAATGAGGAGGTATCCAGAGCCTCAGGTTCTCCTTTTGCAGCTCTTACCCTGGGAGCAGCCCTGATCCAGGGTAGCTTTGCTCAGGGCTCTGTAGCAGGTGAATGCATCCAAAGCTGGCAGCTCTGAGCTATCTGAATGGGCTTGTTACTGGCTCCCTGTTCACCAGCTGGCAGTGCTGGGAGCTCTGGGAGGAGGGTGTCGTGACAGGATGAGCTCACCATGAACAGCCCAGTGGAACGGCATGGCCTGGGAGGAAGCAAGAACAGACCCTAAGAAAACATGGCCTGTCCTTGCTGGCTCAAATGGAGCAAAGAGAGGGAACAGGCCAAGTTTCTCTGGGCTTGGGCAGGTTGTAGCACAGCTTCCCCTTACCTCAGCTGGCGTCAGCCCTCTGCTGCAAGGCCTGAGCTCCAGCCTGTCTTTCCCTTTAAGGAGCCTTGCCCTTGTAGAAGTGAGTTGTCCTTGTGTGGTTACAGGCAGCTGTCTGTCCTCAGGGTAACAGGAGCTTGTGTTTTCTCTGCAGATCATCGAGAAGAGGAAGAAGTTGGAGGCTGATGGGTTAGTATAGTTGCCTCTGCTTTCAGCTCAATAGCTGGGCAGCTCTGGGGCCCGCGTCCTTCAGTGTGGAGAGCGTGGCTGCCTCCTGCCACCTGTCCCTGGGGCTGGAGGGGCTGGGGACTCTCAGTCTCCTCCTTGCCAGCTCTCATCAGTGAGGCTGGAGAGACAGTGGAGAATGTGCAGCCTCTCCAGGGTGCTTCTGCAGGGCTTGCAGGACACCTCTGTCCCTGGCTGTGGGTGGGTGCTGAATAGTCCTGAGAGCTGAGGGCCCTGCTTGGGCTCTTCCTTCACCAGGCAGGTAGCTGTACCCTGTCTGGCCAGGTGCATCCAAGAACTGTTGAGCCCCAGCGCTCTGCTGTGGGGTGAAGCTCTGAACGGGGCCCCAGTGCTGAGCCCTGGGTGGGAGGGGAATTGACCTGTCTGCTGCATGTCCTTCTCACCAGCATCACTCCCACGTCTTGTTTCAGGGTTGAGGTGAAAAGGCCCAAGTACTGATGCCCTGGCTACGTTCCCATGTCTCGTCCTTCAGCTCCTGGAGCCCCAGCCCACTGGATGCTGTGTTCCTAGAGCTCACTGATGTGCTGCAGGCTGGGTTCTGCCTCTCCTTGGCCCCTGAGCTATTTCCTCTCTGCTCCAGGCCGGAGTGATATGTGCTGCCTGACATTGTGCTGTGGGGTTGTGTGCCTAGGCTCTCCCCGCTGGAGTTGGCTGTGCAGCCTGTGATTTGTAACCCTTGTAGCTGCAATAAAATTGCACTAACTTTGAGTGAATGTCAGTGAGTGGACGGGGGGTGTGGAGGGAGGGTGCCTGGATTAACTGACAGCAGCATGAGCTCCTTCCCTCACACGTGTCCTTCCCTGGTAGTGACCATCCATTTGGGTCTGCAGCCTGGTTTTGCTACCCTTCGTATGGCAGACCCCCCTTCCTTCCCTTATCCCAGATAAGGACATCCTGCATGGGAGCTGTCTGGGGCAGGGGTGGGCTCTCTGCTGCCCAGCAACTAGAGCAGGGCCAGAGGCTTGACCCAGGCTGGGGGATCTCAGATGTTGGAACCTGAAATGAATTTCAGTTAAGCTTATGTAGTACTGCTGCTATACCTGCAGAGAAGTTGGTAACAAGTTATAAAGGGTAAAAAGAAAACGCAAGTCCTTCCTATGTAATGTGGATTTCCAGAGAACCTGTGAGAATCTGTGTGCAACCAGTAAGGGTTAGAGTACATCAAGGCTGTCTTAGTGCCTGGAGAAATAGTAAATGCTATACTAATGGTGGTTTTGAGCAACAGCTGAAGAAAATCAGCTGCTAAGCCTATCTGAGGAAGTACACCTCAGCTGGATGTGTTATTAGACACCTGTGCCTTGGTGCATGAGAAAGATGGGACCTGATAGTTCATACTCCTTCCTGCATGTAAATTTTGTCCAAGCTGCCAAAATGGGACTACACCTAACGTGGGAGCAGCAAGCATCCCTGAGCTGTGCAGCCCCAGCCTCAGAGCTGCTCTCTGCTGCCTGGTGCCGTGGCTCAGTGTGCCTCCCTGTCTCGGAGGCAGGGGTGTGCCAGGGCTCAGGGCAATGCTTTGCTGTGCTGGCCGGCCTGGTCTGGCCTGGGGGCGAGCCGCGTGGTGGATGCGATGCGGTTGGCAGAGCAGAGAGCCTGGGGCTGCAGCCAACATGAGGCAAAGCTTGTCACTGCAGTGTGCAGCCTGCAGGGAGCTGGAATAGTCCCTAAGCTAGGGACAAGGCTCCTGGGGGGTTGGATGGGGTGCTGGGCAGCACCTTGGGGTGCTGTGTGCTTCTTGCAGCTGAGCCTGCTGGCCCCAGCCTTTGAACTCCCAGCAGGGCTGTCAGTTAGCACCAGGCCCTGGCTGCTTTCTTCCCCTAGGACATGGGACTCTTGCGGGAGGCTAGAGAACAGGCCCCTGCCAGGGTGCTTCCGGGCTTGTCTGGCTGCCCCAGCTGTCCTGGAAGGTGCAAACTGAGGTGCTGCCAAGGGCAGTAGGACCCTAGGGTGCAAATGAGTAATTAAGAAACAGAACAAATTAAAAGGCCGGGTCCATTAACAAATTAAATTGCGGAGTGGCGTCCGACAAAAGGGCCAGGGGTGCCCGCGGGATCGAACCCCTGTCGGGGCGAAAGCAAACACGCTGCAATTGAACGAAGTAACCGCTGGGCTATAGCCGGCCCGCGAGACTGCTCGCCGCAGCTGGGCTAAGAGCCTCGCGCATCGCCCCATGCAAATGAGACTGCGCATCATGCGGACGGTGGGCGGGGCTGTCCGGTCCCCGGGGAGCGCCCGCTCGGAGAGAA